TCGCTCTGTCCCTTCCCCCCGTCTTGCCACCATGGGGAGCAGGGCTTTCAGCTGCTCTGCTCCTCGACTCTGGAAATATCTCTTCCATCTCTCTCTTTAAGACCCAACTCAAAACTCATTTGTTCAAAATAGCTTATTCCACATAACCTCTCCACTCTGCTATTTGAAATTTGTTTTATCGCTTATTCTTTTATGATTGTGTAAACTGCTTGCTTTTATGTTGCTTTTATTATTCTGCGTCCTTGAGTGTTCTGAAAGGCGCTTTTAAATAAAATGTATTATTATTATTATTATTACTATTATTAAAAGACATGCACACACACAAAGGTCACCTGCATGCAGCTGCAAGTCATGTATGCAGATACACAGAAGATTTGCCACTGCATGCAGGTGTACAGTTCTGATTTTGGTAAATATTGAAGCAGAATGGTTGTACCTCATTGATCTGTCGTTTCTGGGCAGATATTCTTTTTTGAGTCTGCTTCTGAAGTATCTGCTCTCTCTTCTTTATGTAGTCGTCAGAGGTGGAAGTGAAAGGGTTGTGGAACTCATCATAGCCTTCATCCATCATGTACCAGTCTCTGTCAGCTTGCTGTAATTTCAGTTAAATAATCAGATAACAGAAAAAAAAATGCTTATGTATGAGGTATGAAGGAGTGATAATTTTGTACTCACCTTCTGGTCTTCCTCCCACTGTTCTTTCTCGTCCTCATTATCAAACATAATTCCTGCACCACCTTCTTCTTTCCTCCCTGAAGAAAAGACAAAGAAATTAAATTTCTCCGGCATACTATAAATGTTGAATGAAGGTTCAATTTTTTAACAGTACCTTTTCCTTGTGATAAACGAGGTGTGGACCCCAAATGCTTTCGGTCATTGGCCCATTCATTATACTTATAGGATGGGGTAGGCAGGGGCGTGTCGTCAGGATAACGACCTGATCTAACTGATCTAAAAGCAAATAAATGATGTTAGCATCGAGTGGCAGTTAAGCATTTCACACAAAGTGCAATCATATTTACAAAAGCCTCTAAGAAACTGATGATAACAGTATGATCATAACACTTGGTGATACGCAGCAAAGAGCTGCGAATTCTATTTTTTATAAAATACAAATAGCCATGCTGCCAGATAACATTTAGAGCTGAAGATAATTCTAAATGCAATTCAATATATTGTATTCTGTGTGGGGTCACATATATAATATCAGTTTTGATCAGTACAAAGAAAGAAATAAAAATTACAGGTCCTGAGTCACAAAAATGTAAGCTACAATACACGACAGTTGCTCACCTGTCCCTTCTCTCACTTTCTCGGCCAGAGCGTTGGCTTCTTTCCGAGCGGTCGGACTCTCTGTGAGACGGGGCAGGGGAAGGAGATTCCCACTGGGAATGCCTTGAGCTGCCAAAACCACTGTCATCCTCATCCCAGTTGGAGCGGGAGGGAGTGAAAGAATCTATGTAAAAACAAAAGAAGGTAAGTGATCAAGTTGAATACACAACATTTTGTACATGGCAATAAAACAAATTCAAATAAAAGCAAAACAACCTCTGGGACGACTCTGTGGAGTTTGGGGTTCATCTCTCTTACTGCCCCGGCTGATGCGATCGGACCACCCATCCCTCTGTGAGCGTTCACTCCTCTCACTGCGCTCCCAACGCTCCGACCGACTGCTGCTGCTGCCACGGCTATAGCCGCTCTCGCGGTCATCTAACAGACAAAAGCAAAGGAATCTCAGCATCCTCAACTGATCTAATATTTGCTTTCATTATCACCTGATCTACAACGTTGAAACAAAAAAACAAACCAAAAAAACAATGGAATATCCAGAGTTTTGAGTGGTTCTTTCTTACAAATACTAAAAAAAGGAAAAAAAAATATCACACTAAAATCATGATAGATGGACTAAAACCAAAAGTCAATTTTAATGACTATTAGAAAACCAAATGATTTATGGAGTCACCTCTTTCACTGCGTCGGTCTCTGCCCTTATCTCTACTCCTTTCTCGGTCTCTCTCTCTGTTTCTGTCCTCTTTAGAGGAGGCATAGACTCCATGCTCGCGCCTCTCCTTCTCCCTCTGCTGGTGTCTGCGTCTGAACTCTTCGCTGACCCCTCCAGGGTTTGAGGGCGTCTCTGAACCAGTCACACGATACTTCCTGCTAGCGAGACAAAAATAAAAGATTCTCAATTACATTATAGCATTTCTGATGAGAATTCCTCAGTCAAGTACACCATGACTTTTTGCTCTCTGCAACATTTTCAAGTCACGATCCCATATACGAATAAACTATAAAACAGCACATTGTAAAACCTTTTTCCACAAGCCACAATGAAAGCTTTTTAAGCTCATAAAATGAACGGAATACCTTTCTATCTATTCTTTGTAGAGTGCTCACACTTACCTCTCTTTTTTAGCAGTGCTATTGTCATCACTGTCTTCTTCATCAGATCCAGAGTCACTTTTACCTTCCTCCCAGTCTTTGTAGGAGGAAACCTTTGACTTCTTGCTACTCCTGTCATCACTGCTAGAATCTGCTTGTTCCTTAGTCTCACGCTCCTTCCTTTTCTGTGCTGCCAGAAGATCCAAGCCCAGTAAAGATGTGCGTGGAGTGGGTGCCCGAAATACATGGGGCTCTGCAGCAGCGCTCTTCTTCTTTACAATCAGACCTCCAACTTGAACAGTCGGATCGGATCCTTCCAGCCTATGCATTGACACGTCATCATCCATTATCTGTGAAGAAGTTATGATATGAGGAGTGCTAGTAATCTTTGCTGGTGATATCACCATTGATAACATAATTACATTCTATCTCAGGTTTTTTTTTTTGCATATTTATTACACTTTTATGTTGCAGATCATCAAACTACATTTTAAATGATGATTTTACTTATTAAGGAAAAAAGTTAACCTGGTCCTGTGTAAAAAAAAAAAGTAATTGCCTCAAGTGCTTGTGATAACTACTAATGAGTCTTTCACATCATCCCAGAAGAATCACCGTGCACACACTTCTGTCCAGAACTGTTTTAATTCAGCCACCTGGCAAAGCATCTCGATTGGATTCAACTCCGATCGTGTGTATTTACTCGGGTTATATTTACCACGAAGGAGACAAATACTTTTTCACAGCACTGTATCGATAGGCCGTCATTTCACAGTCATACTCAGAGTCCAAGCTAGGCTCCAATCAATAATCCAAACCACAGAGTAATAACATTTAAATTATTTACTTATTGACCAACTACTGATGTTTGGAAAAAAAAAAACTCCAGGATATGAAGTAGCAATAATAACTTTTTACCCCGATCCAAAATGAAATAAATAAATCTTTGGTGGGAAATAAGTCACATATGTATTAGTACCTATCACATTAATAGTATCAAAATCTAACTTGAGGCTCTAAACGCTTCCGCTGTAGTTGGTAACATGCTTACGTAAGCTCTACGCATTATATTTACGCAGCTAACATTGCTCCATAAAAGAGCTCGTGGGTAAGAGTTTCATTTAAAAAACTATCACATACCTCAGACTGAGCGGCTAGCCTCGGCTAGCCTTCGAGCTGCTAGTGTCCAGACGAGAAGGCGCAAAAATGCCGCGTGTTTCTGTCAGCGTAAAATACAAACACTCTCACATGAACGTAAACATCTGGGGCCAACTTATGGACCACAAAATGAATCACAAAACCACCACTAATGGCGTCAGAGAAAACGATTAACGATCGGTTTTCGTAAACTCAACGCGTATGTTTACAGATGAGGGAGCAGCCATTGCAATCCCACAATCCTTCTTCTTCTTCTTCTTTGTACGGCGATACCAAACCGTACATATGAAAAAGCGCCGCTTCTGGTTTGAAGTGATTACTACATCTCTTATATTTTTTTTCTATATTTTATGTTCAGAATCAGAAAAGGGTTTATTGCCAGATGTTGAGCAGATTTACAACGTTAGGAAATTGCTGCGGTACTCAATGCGAAACATACTATAACACAAACACTTAAATAAAAAACAAAAAATAAATAAAAATAAGAAAAGTGCTAAGCCCCCATTAAGTAAAGGTTACATAACATCCCTTTAGCTTCTTTGGCCTGCATTTGTTTTCTTTTTCTCTTTCTAACCCCCTTTTAAGCTTGTATCCGTATTAATCTAGAAGTTCCTTTTCATTTATTTTCTACATGAGCTGTATCTAAACATATCATCCCACAGTTCTAAAATGTAATTGCGAAAAAATATTTATTTACTTTTATTTACTTTACCCATATTTATATATTTGTTATAATAATAATAAGAGTTACAGGCGAGGAAAGAGTGTAAATCTCAAGAAAAATGAAGTAGAAAAATAACTTTGGAAACGAAAATAGAAAAGAGTACCTTGATACAATAAAATAAACAGCAGAGTTTTGGTAAAAGCACAAAAAATTTCCAAAAAGTAAACTATGGTGTTGACGAGCATTGTCCAATACTATACAAATGATTATGATAAAGTTTGAACCTACAACAAACGTGTTTTTGATGCAAAGGCATAAGTGGAAATACTGAAACTTTGGGGTTAGTTTGGCTAAAGATTTTCTTCAGCTTAGTAAAAACCCATGTCTAAGATTTGACCTAAGACAAGTGTCCCAAAAAAGGGTTAACAAGCACACTGTGGGTGATCTATCAGTATGTGCTTCACAGGGTTTATCAACAGGCAGATAACATAGTGTCGCTGTGGGTTGTATCCGGGTTTTTAAAAAAACAGAAAAGAATTAGGAAAAATACCAAATATAAAAATTCATATTCAGAGAGTACCAAGGAGTATAAACCTGCCAAGGAACTTTGGAAATGAAATAAAATCTTTTTGAAAAAAAAAAATGTCTGCAGTATTTACAGGGACAAAGAAAGTGTTATCTAAGCGCAGATAAAATGGGTAAAACACATGTTATGTCACCGGAGTCCCTTACATGCACAATGACAGCGCACACTTGACAACCTTGGCTTGTGCCATGGTCTCGTGATCATCAGTTGGGCGACCTGATTGGTCACTGCTGAGAAAGTGACAGTTTCTTTGGTTACTGCCCCGACGGTCAAACAACACACGGTGGCATTGGTTCGTTTCACATGTCTGCTGATACCGGTTTAGGGTATCTAATGCTTTCGTAACATATAATTGCTCAGCACTGAAATTGTGTTTCTTTTAACTTTTTTTTCCTGCGGTGTTATCAGGGGCTTTTCGAGCCTAATCAAACAGCACACATAGCTATAGCCATCTTTACGTCCATAGCTAAGGTTTAAGAGAAGCTAAGGTTAGCTAGTCGCTCAGTCGCACTGACGTTACAATGGGATTGGAAAATAAAGAAAATCTCACTAACGCGAATAGTGAAGCTGGTAACTCCAGTGTTGAGCAAAATTGCGAAACAGTAGACGATGGCGTAAAATGTTACACGTTAGAAGACGTAAGAGTACATAATATGAGCAACGACACATGGCTTATCATCCACGATAAAGTATATGACATTTCAAGTTTCCTTGAAGAGGTAAGAAAGACTTTCTGTTGACTAGTAGCTCATGCTTTGTCATTAAAGTAGTCGTTATTAATTCTTCTTCGTGAACCCCTTGGTTTTGCCATTTGTCTGGGCTTCCTGGAAGTGCAGGATGAGCGTGATCCTTATCGTTACGTGTTGACGTGTAAGCTTTGCAAATTGTCTTCGGCTAATTTGCTGCTAACGACCCAATCCTAAACTCAAAACCGCCAGTATAAATAATCTACAATTACGACTGGCCTACTTTAAAGAACCTTCTTATTGTTTTATCATTTCTTCTGCAAGGGTGTCCAAATGTTGTAGGATAGATTAGCTAAGTTTGGTTAACAAGTAGTAGCTAGCCCTGTCCGATGATAGTTCTTCAGACGATTTGGGCTGAATGTTTATAGCTTTATAAACACAGCTGATAAAAATGTGATTTATAAATCAGTGGGCTGGTTGTGATAAAATCCTTTATCTGGCTAAAATGTGTAAAAACTCTGGAAGTTAAAAGTTGCATGTTGTGTAAAAAACAAACAAACAAACAAACAAAAAACCTTTTTGCTTAAGTAACAAAATTAGTTCCTAGAGTGGTACGTCTTTGAACAGTACTGTGCAAACGTCTATAGCTACCCCTCAATCTTTGTATTTTGATAGTAAAATGGGGAGTAGGTGCAGGTTTGTAAATTACAGAAAATAGAGTTTAAATAGTTGTAACAATCTTGAAAACTCACTCTAATATGTTCTTGTAATTTCTGTAAGTAATGTTGAGTTGAGGTCTGGGAATGCCAGCTAATGGCTGAGAATGTCCCGGGGTGCGTCTTTTCCAACCATGTATGCATTCCAACACTGGAAGACTATAATATTAGTGCATTTCACTGTTTTGTCTGTGATTTCAGTTGTAATACTGTCATTATTCATAACTTAAACAAGTATACTAAAACAGTTGTGCATGTCAGGTGCTTCAGAGTAACCAGGTCAACCACTTTTGATTTTAGCATCCAGGAGGTGAGGAGGTTTTACTGGAGCAGGCGGGTGCAGATGCCACAGAGAGCTTCGAGGATGTGGGTCACTCCTCGGATGCCAGGGAGATGCTCCAGCAGTATTACATTGGGGAGCTTCACGAGGTAAGGAGGAAAGACTGCCTGTCTGCCTGTAGTGTTTCTTTCACACGTCTAAACCAATCTTTCAATTACTGAAGTTAAATGTCTTTATTATTATGTCTTTGTTATTATTGTTGCCTAAACCCTTCCAAATCAAACAGAGTAACTAAATAATGTCACAAGATTGAGTCATTTGCACCTAAGTTGTTTGGAGTCACCTCCAGATGGTGTCGTGTATAAGATGACGTAAAAGTGGGTGGAAACTGATTTGTTACCAAGTCTATCACATGAGCAGTAGCTCTCTATTTAAGTTCCTATATCACATTCAGTCTAATGTTCACATTTTCTGTTTCCTGTGAGGCAGTAATTTGGTTTTGAGCAATTTGAGCATAAAGAAATACTGAAACTAGAGAGATCACAGCATAAATGTAAAAAGCATCAGAAAAATACAATAAAAATATTATCCAATTAAACATGAGTAACAATATTTTATGTTATGCTTGTTGGAAATTTAGTGTAGCTTATCAGCCACTCTATTATACACCCAACAGTTTCACAATTATTTATAATATACTTTAAAACATGGTTAAATTGACTAATTTACCATAATTATACCATTAGATGATAGATTTTCTGTTCATACTGTTGTTTATCCACTGTGCTTCCACTGAGTGCTAATGAATCTCCAGCAGTTTCAGTTAGACAAATCCAGTGCTTTCACATATAAAGTCTCTTTAGACTTCAAATGTGAAAACTATTTGTAAAATCAATCTTTATGGGTCTTTTACAAAACAGTTTGTGTGAGCTGCTCATTTTAACGCCACAAGAAAATGGCTGTAGAAAAAAAAGACTAGTCTGCCTTGCAAAAATAAAAATAGGAAGATGTCCAGTTCATGTGATTAATTGTTTAATTTGGACTGCTGCAAATGAATCCAGCTTATCTCCAGATGAACATTCCAGTGCAACAGGAAGTTGCAGAGTTTGAAGAAAGTTTCCTGCTGTCTTCCTGTTCAGATGACTTTTGCTTAGGTTCCCACATAATTAAAATCGCTGAGCTGGTTTCTTTGTCTTTTAATAGAAACTGGCAGCACACCACACAAACCGTATTCAAATTATCACTTTTAATTGGTGGATTCCACTTGCAACAAATCAATGAATGTTTGAGGGATAATTAGCCTTCTGGTTCTTTCACCAGTCCCACTTGATGGTTACATAAATTTTAGTATTTATTTATTTAATTCTACTCAGCATCACAAAACGATCATATGATTTCTTTTGTTTTCCTTCATAGGATGACAGAAAAAAGGACACTGCAAAGGTAAATTGGCTGTTCCATGCACCATGAAACGATACTGTATTTGGACTTTTCCACATTGTTCCACAACTTGTGTTTCTCCTTTTTTCAATTTTGTGCTGTAGAAAGCAGAAGTCGCAAAGTCTGAGGGGAGCAGGTTAGTCATTCTGATGAATGTGTCTCAGGCTCTCTTTGTACTGTTTCAGAGGGGCGAGTGCAATGACACCTTATATCTGTATAAATGAAAATGTTTTCAAATTAACGTTTGTGTAATTTTTTTTTTTCAGCAGCTCCTGGGCCATTTGGTTGTTACCTGCTGTTGCTGTTGTTGTTATTGGTATCGTGTATCGCTACTTCATTTTTGAGCAGAGGTCCTCTTGAGTGGCGACGTCATGTTTTCATCCTCGTCTTTTCATCTCGGAGGCCTTGAAATGTTTGACCAAAACCTCCTCACCCTGGACACGTGCGGTAGTGTCAACGTCCTCAGCAGCAAGAAGAGTGGAGGGGTAGTTTGATTAAGTGTTTTTGTCCTTATCCGTCTACTTGGTGCACCAAATAGATAGTTGGGCAGAGACTTTATGAAATTGTCAGCCTTTGCTTTCTCCACTGTGCCAGTTGTCATAAATGTCACGTGTTGTCTTTACCCTAAACTTTCATATGCACGTTGTGCAGTTTGAATCTTCATTACGCCAGCTATAGGTAGGCTGAAGGAGAGGTTATGCAGGGCGATGATGAAGCGAGCCTCCAGCCTGTTTTTTTTCTTCTTCTTTTTTTATTGGATAATAACTTGCATAACCTCCAGTGCATTTTCTTGGGTTTAATAAAGTCAGAATAGCCAGTTAGCTCTCAATAAAAGGGTTTATTTTATTCACTCCTTTATGCACAGTTCAGCTGTTAGGCAATGCTTGATTGCTTTTGTCACTCGGTTGCAAACTCATGATCTTTCCACTTTTATGAATGCATTTTCAAGTCTGTGTTGGATCCTTTTTGAAAATCGCAGTTAATTATACTGCATCATTGATTTGTTTTTGGAGTTGTCCCTTTCTGCCAATGTTCTCTTTTCAGGAATTTATACACGTTCAAATGACCTAATCATTTAAATGTAGAGAGAAATACAATGCAACTTATTACCCAGGTATAATAGATGACAGGGAATGACAGAATACCCTTGAAAGAAAGTTCATTTCTATTTCAAGTTGTTAATGTTCCCTCTGCTATGCCGTTTGTTATTTAACCAGTGCTTTTTCACAGCTTTTGTTCATTGTAACGCATCTGAACTTTAAGTTTTGGGTGAATGGCACAAGCAGCTGATTCAGCAGAGTTTAAAATCTGGTCTGTGTTTCTTGTGTAGCAGCTTTGGCTATAATCAGTGGGTTTGGCATTCGACCTATAGATGGGTATCTTTCAGTCTACATTTAGTTGTCTTTCCCTGTTTAATGATTATTTGTGGCCTATATTTGTTATTGGTTTGATTTATTAAACCTTTGTCAAGGTTGCTAATTTGGTCTTGTTAAATATGTTTTGGTAAGCTTTCAAATTCTTTATTTAAATTTATTTCATGGTAATTAAAAAGTTTTTTCCAAATAGAGACAAATTGATGTCAGCTGTCATTTCAAAGGTTCTGAATGAACTTGCTGCTATTTTTACATGCGAGTACAAAACTGCAGATGTCAAAAATAAGTTTGTTGATTATAAAAGATAAGATGAATACATGTCATTGTTATACATTTTACCTGCCATTTCCTTTCTTTGAAACTATCAATAAAATGGGCCTTGACGTGCAATTCGCCAGTCACTACTTCCTGAAAATAATTAAATGTAAATCAGGGTTTATGTATATAGGTTTTCTGTTTCCTTTTTTTTTTTTTCTTTTAATTTGTGTGATTTGTGACTTTCCCTCCTGCCTGCCGTCTCTATATTCAACATCCTTTGTCCAGTGTATCTACCCGCTCTTCTTTGCACGTGCCCAAACCATCTCGACTATAACTGTCTCCCTACCACTCTGATGTACTCATCTTGTCCATCCTGGTCACTCCCAGTGAACATCTTGACATCTTCAGCTCAGCCTCCTGTCATTTTGTCAGTGCCACCATCTCCAAACTATGCATCGTAGCAGGTCACGCCTCTTTAGGTAGTCAAACTCGTCGACCTTCACTACCACTACTTCTTGCTTCACTGCATGTATTCTGTCTTGTTTCAACCGTCTTTCATTCCTCATCTCTCGAGTGCACACCTTTCCAGGCTCTCTTCCACCTGCTCCCTACTCTTTGTAAAGATTAGTGTTGTTTATGAACATCAAAGGCCACAGAGACTCCTGCCTGACCTCAACTGTCAGTCTGCAAACAAGAAGGGGCTGAGAACAGATCCCTGATGCACTCACACTCTCATCTTACTCCTACTGCAAAAATCACCATGGTTAAAGCACATATATATATATAAAACTGACTTAACTAAATCTAAAATAAAAACTAAAACTAGTTGGGAAATAACATTTAAACTATATATATACATGCACACACACACATCCTTAGTTTTAGTTTTTGCTACTTTGGTAAATAAGAAATTTTATTTAACTGCCCTTATGTAACCTTGGATGTCTACAAGACGTAGTCAATTGCTTTCAAAAAGTTCTGTTTTTATTGTAGTACTTGCACTGATTTTCCTAAATTCTGCTAGAAAAAATTTCCCTCCATATAATATTTATTAATGAAGAATGAAACAAAAACGAAACATTTTCAAAAACTAGAGCAAACACACTCTGGAAAGTAGTTGAAACTAAGCTGAATTAAAAGCAAAAAGTCTAAACGAAATTTTAAAAAAGGCCAAATAGAGAAAAATGAAAGAAAGAACCCCAAAACAAGCTAGTAAAACATGTTATCATCACAGTAAAAACTCTAAAACGTCACAACTTTTAGGTCCTGATTTAATATACAAAGTACTAGAAAATTAATTCCTTTGCTGATTGCTATTTCCTCGACATATGTTTCAGTGTCACATTGGGGCCACTAGTAAATCCTGCTCGATAATAAATTAGCTTTTGCTCTTGATACATTGGAGTGTGGTGAAAGAAAAGCCATTTCAGTCAATGGGCACTGTGTGGATGAGGCATGCTTTCTGATGAAGGGTTTGAAGCAATTTGATTCTTGGAAAGTTTCACTCTTCACATGGCCAAAATGGGTTCTTTCAAGCCAAAAGCTGGACCTCAGTTATTGTTGAGTGCTAGGAGGATGCTCGGAACATGGAAACAGCCCAAAAACAAGAAGTCAGGCAACATGCAGTACAGACACATACTTCTGTTTCAACTGGCACCTTAAATGGTAGCCTCTGAAAAGGCCTTATCATTAAATAAGGCAGCTTTACTGAATGCAGCTTTGTATGCTATGTGTTTACCACAGTTATATTAGCAAATCGTTCCTCATACCTCCGACTAGTGCTGTTTAAATAATGATAATTGGTAAACATTTACAATTATAACTGCTATTAAACGACAGCAGCGGCTCTTTCATAGGTTCAAATTAAGACCAAACATCACAACTACCTTGGAAAGATGCCATTAAAACCCTTATAATCTAACACTGTAGCCCAGTGTGGTGATACGCAACAGATTTATAACATGAAGTCATTGAATTTTTTTATATAGAGGTGAGAGAAAATGTTATAGTATCTCTTAGAAATGTAATCATGGCCCCATTGTGATTTAATTTAAAATTCCAGGCGGGTACTTTTATTTGATTTTCTCATGCCTAGGCAGTTTATAGTGTAACTACTATATATAGTGTAGCTACTTTTTGCCGGAAACGTGAAAGGTGGAAAAGAGCAGGAAGGGTGATTGAAATGAAAGATGTTTTTTCTCTGTCTACAATCTCCACAAGAGCCATCACAGTTTAGAGTACACGCCACATGAAGCATAAATCCGTGCCTGTTGATTTATCCTTTTTAATCAGGTTTTCACTCAGGTGGGACTTTAAAGAATCAGATTCCTTAATTAAATAAATGTATGGCTTGTTTCAAGAAACCAAAATGCTGTTGTAGTTTATTTAAAAAGGACTCCAATGCTACGTGAATAGTGCATGTAACACTGGTATTGGGCTTCATGAAACTTAAAATTAGTAGGACAGAAACATTAAATCCTGAAACAGAAAAGAAATCCAACGGTATAAAATTATGTCAATTGCTTTTGTGCAACATTATAGACATATTGATCCCTCTCTATATAAATATAGATACATTTTTTTGCCATGTTATACTTAGTAGAAACACAAGATGGCAGTACCATGTCAAGATGATAATATGCCAAGTCTTGGATTAAGCATTTGCCAGAAATAGTGAAACTATACACCATTCAGCTCCAACTTTACAACCAGTTACATTAAAAATGAAGACCAGTGATTATTCTGTGCCTGTGAAATGTTCTGCCAGGAAATATGTGGACATTTCTTTGACATGTATCACACACTTAAAAATGATGTGTGTGGTACTGGTCCAGACCAGCAAACCCATCATGCCAACCATACTCTCTTACAGCAGCAGCCTCCATCCAGATGTGGTGCCCATTGCACCTGTCCCAAGGGGGATCCAAGGTGTTAACCTGGCTTCTAAAGCTCACCATCTTCCATTTAAGCATACATGGGATGCAGTGGAGCAAACCCAGTCCATGTCGGCATCCTCCAGCAACTTATAATACCCGATAGATCAGCTGTCAATGTCTCAATACCAGATGAGGGTATCCCCAGAGGTCACAAGTCTATTTCTCCGCTACGCAGAGCCATTTTGACAGCACACTAGAGACCTACATAATATTAAACATGCAGTTTAATATTGTGGGTACAGCATTACAAAGTATATCGTTAGCTTCATAGCATAAGTGCCTAAGTCATTTTTTTGTGTTTTCGGAAAACAAGAAAAAACTAATTTTCTAAATATCACATGCATATTTTTACATATCACATGCAATTTGACCAAAAAATGACTTAGGCACTTATGCTATGAAGCTAACGATATATTAAAATCATTAATCTCTCTAGTTCTCTCATTTTCATAAACACAGTTCTGTAGCATACATCTCCAAATGTTTATGGGCAAAGAAACACAATAACAGGGTGTGATAGAGGGTGTTTGAACATGTAATACCCTTAAAGACTTTAAAATGTTAATAGTTTAAAGTAAAATGTAAAAATATTCTGCTTACAAAACTGCAGTGAGGCTAATGCAGATGAACAACAGATTAAAATATTTTTATAATAGGGAGCTTTTGACAGTATTGTCTCAAGCACTGTACTTCCAAAGCCATAGAAGCAATGCATTGGACTTTATTGGGATCCGTGTTCTGTCTAGCTAGATATTAGATATTTTATCACCTTTTCAGCAAAGACCAGTGAAGCCACTTCTTGTTGTGGCAGGAATTATGACCAGAGAGAATGATAAGCTCTTAGAAGATGACATATGGTGTCTGTATGAATATACTGCGTGTGAATCCCTAAGACAATCACCGTTCCCCAAACCAAATCACCTGTCATTTCTGGCAGCAGTAAGGCTTAAGAAGAACGGAGGCTTCTAATGCACAACACTTTAGTGTCTTAAGAGACCAGTTTGGTAAACACCTCAGATGCTACGAAAATCACTTCTGGGTAATGCGGGAATACACCTGATCTCTGACAGGGTTTGAGTTAGCTGAAAGGGTCACATATTCATAGAAAACGTTTTTAGTGTGACTTAACAAAGAAGGACATTAAAATCCTGTTCTTGTGCACAGAGAGATGAGTGACAAAAACATGCAGAGAACCAATGTCAGAAAGAATTTAAAAATTTTAAAACTTGTCTAGGTTCATCAAAAACATTCAACTCTAGCTGAAGAAGAACTTAATTCTTTTGTAAAGGACACCTGCTGATGAAATCACTAAATTCACCCAGGCCTGAGTTTATGTATTATGCAGCAATATGAGATGGTAGTGAGACTCCATCATGTATGTTTTAGATTTAGTGGTGCTGTAAAAAAAGACACCGAGCAGGATTCGGTGAAGTTGAAGACGTTAAGATCTTCCTTAGGAGCGACCAAAATTGACAACATTAGAAATGTGTATATCAGAAGGACAGCTCAGGTGGAGCCATATGGAGACAAAGTCTGAGATGCTGAGATGGTTTCACATGACATGAGATTCATCAGGTCAAGTTGGGGTTTTTTCTAACATCGTTCTTTGCAAAACTACTTATGGGACCACTTGCAGCTGCCTCACAGTTTGCTCCCTTCATTATGCATGTATCGAGCTGTTGTTTCATTTTTGTGCCCTTTGTCATGAGCAATACTGGGCATAATATCAGTCGAACTTGTATCCATCTATTATGCATAAGCCAAAGGATCATTTTCTGCTTATTTTATTTATTTATTTATTTTAAAAGCTCCGGATCTACAGCTCAACCTGTTATCTAACATGACACTGGTAGGTAGCAATTAACATAATCCATCTCATATTATTCAAAAATTTGCCCAGAAGTATAAAACAGTGAAAATATTACCAAAATAGAATGGCGTATCATTTTTTTGTGCATAGACTAACTTGCTGAGTTCTTCTCTGGGTGAAAAGAACGTTCATCTAATGACCACAAACAAGAATTTTCATTTTGAGCTTGTTAATCATCCAGGTTTGCCAAACTGCTTTAATATTACCACTTCAAACAAAGAATTCCCACTGAAATAACAGACTAGGCTATACATAATCATCATTAATTTGTTTTAACCCTCCAAAATAAAATAAATTTTAAAAAAATGCATAATTTATATCAAACAAACCAAACTTGTATCTTCATTAGTTAGTCCTCTTACTGAGGAAAGCTAGGCATCCATGCATCCATCCAGCCATCCTCTTCCACTGATCCTTTTTAGGGGGGGCTGGAGCCTATCCCAGCTGTCACAGGGCAGAGAGAGTGAGACAGCTAGCGAGTGCAAAATGCTACTCTACTTCAATAAGTTGAAACAAAAACATTAACAGGTAAAACATTGACAGCATATAGTACAGTTTAGCATTTATTATATACCACAGCATAGAGAAGCAGAGAGATGTTAACTGGAAGCTAACAATGCTGATGTAGAGCATCAGACCACGCATAGCTAGAAAAAAATATATGCTAAAGGATCAGCAAACATTTTTCACTATAACTTTATTTCAGTTCTGCAATGATACATCTGTAAATATCAAACTCAAACTGAAGACTTGAAAAGAAACAACTCACGGGCATCATGCTTTATTTCATAAATTATCCATATATCAATACATAAATTCTTTTATAATCAGGAATTTTTCAATCACAAACAATATACATACAAAAGGTTAATATTACGTTATTCAGATTTTCTTTTCTTTTTTAACTTCAATTTTGTGACACTTTTGATCCTCCGTTTGCCCTTGCACAAACTTCAATGATGTAACTCAAGCAGAAAACCTAAAGGCTAAAATTAACTGCATAAAACGTTACGGAATTTCTGAATTCTAATCTCGATTCATTGTAAATGTACATAAACCGATAACATGACAAAAACTTTAGTGCAGATAGTGTGAGGAAGATCTTAGACTTAATATCTCAAAGTAAACAACCATAGCCTCAGATCTTATCCAAGTTATCTCTTCCCAGCACAAATGTGGTGACCTTTCTACAGTATAGATGCTTAATTACTTTCCTCCTTGCACCCACTGAAAAGCTGTGACTTAAAGGTTAGCTTCTCCAAGCTGTTATATGCCAAGGTATTTGATGCACAGTTTAAATTGAAGAAGAGGTAGATGGTTTCAGTCCTTCAGTGTGCTTATTATCAGATACCGATGTTCAGAAATGTTTCATATAGAGAGAATTTAAAACGAACTAATTCGCTAATCGTGACCTGTGCAACAGGTTTAAACAGGCTGACACTGAAAGACTGATTATATCACTGTATGTAATGTCAATTTTTGGGAGCACAGAGAACTTTGTTGGTTGGTTATAAAACAAATAAAAGGTGGTTTTAAAGACACTGTCTCTAATTGTAAATTAAATCTCTGCAGCAGTGTGAAGAAGTAAAAGAAAAAATCCAAAGCCGTTCTAAATTCATGCTCCAGTCAACTGAACACTGATTCTGAAGTTTGATAAAAAATAAAAAATATATTACAATCAAGATATCGCAAATTTGGATTTAATCTGCAGAGAGGAAATTTTAAATGTTTGCTATCATAACCAAATCATTCGTACTGCGACCCTTTTAAAGCTTAGTTCTCACCCTCATTACCTTGTATGGAACTATGTCAGAACATGGCTTCAGTTGTCTAGCTCAGTCAGACAATGCAACACAGTACAGAGGTTGCTGGCCATGTTTGTGTCCATGCCGGTGGTGCTCTTTAGGTCTTAAGCCACAGACAGCAAGGTGCAGGTAGATGACACACTGGAGGATCGCCCATGGACACTGTTGTTGTTATCCAGAATTCCTGATGCAAACTGCATCTTTGATGTGGTGCAACACCCAAAAGTTCTGGCCAATTCAGGGCAGAGGGCCAGAGCTAGTTTCTGAAGGACTAGACAGAATTTCTTGCGAAAGTTTCGGTTTATCCAGAAATAGAAGATGCAGTTGAGGAAACCATTGGAAGTTGGTAGCCAGACCACTACAAACTCAATCCACTCTGGTATACTGCTACCTGTGACTGCTGTAAGGCAGAAAACAATGAGTGTTAAAGGCAAGTATCAACAAAGTGAAAACAACGTACCTAGCAAAAGACAGCGGCTACTTTGACCTGCTCCCTTTTTACAGAGCAAGCAGCTCTGTATGTTTTCTTTGTCTAATTTTCACACCAGAGGCCCTTCATGGGGTGACACAAATTCCTAAAAATGTTAGTATAATTAGTGTTAGTATAACTGCAAAAGGAACCTCCTGAGACGGAGCTGGGGATATTTCACTTGGCATTATGAGAGAAACTAAAAAAGTCTGCTTTGGAGGTGCTTGCCTTACCCCTGAAAGCAATGATATAACCCATCAAACTAACATTTGTAGTCTTGACCTGAAAATACAAAATTCACTGATCAGGTGGAAACTGCAGTGAAACCAGCATTTAGACAGCAGCACACTTTAAAGATTAAGCAAAACCGTCGGCTTCGTTTCACAGGATATTCATCCAATATCAGATCATTTACAGCACTCTGTGGAAAAGGTCTTCACTACTAAAAATATTCAGCTGTGACTTTTCAGTTGTGACTACTCCAAGACAGCACATGGCTGGGGTAAATGAGAAAAGTCAAAAAAGGTCTGAGTCATATAACTGGCCCCAAATCAGCTTTTTATTTACAATAATAATAATAATAACAAAAATATTTTTTAAAAGGGAAATGGACCTATCAATAGCCATCTAATACAATTTTTAATAAACACATTCAAATACTTACTTTTGAATTCTCTTACGGCCTTTGAAACCACAAATAAGAAATACACCAAGACAAACAAGTGCCTGTGAAGTTTACCTCTTCCAGTTAAGCTTATATAATCAAAAACTATCTAAACCTAAAAAAGCAATGCTTGCTACAAAATAAGCCAGTTATATGAGTAGTTCTCGGATATTTTGTCCCAGTAAATGCCACAATTATAGACATAAACCGACTATATTACATGGGATATATTCATATATGAAATGAGGATGGTAGAAGAAAATCATCCACCATCCTCACACACTCACTTTACGTATCTAGTGAGGTTTTGCTTACCATTGTAGATCATTGCTGCCATGCAGGGAGTCCAGCAGATGTAGTAGGCTCCCATCACAGGCACAAGCACTCTGGAAGGCACATTGAGCCTACTGCGCCGCGCGCTGTCATATTTGCGCAGTTTTAACCTCTGTCTCTTGGCTGCACACCAGACTTTTAGGTTTGCAAATGTCATGATGATGGAGCAAGGGAAAAATATTACACATGTCAAGCTTAGGGAGTATCCAATATTTGTAGAGTAAGATGGGTTGCAGACCAGTGATGCGGTGGAAAAATGAACTTGGATGATGCCATCTGGTAATGATATCGGCGAGAGTAAAATGGGAGGAAAGCACCAGGCGAAGGCAATCAGAAACAGCGTCCTTTTCCTTGTCAGCAGAGATGAGTACTGAAGCGGGTAAAACACCGCAATGTACCTCTCCAGGCTTATCATGGCCAGTGTGTACATGCAGGTGGAGTAGACGGTGGCATTGCAAAAGGCCACAAGGTGACAAAAACCATCTGGACCTTCAGTGTAATCCTTTAGCAGACTCACCCAAAGGTTCAAGGGCATGACCAGCAGTCCGAACGCAGAGTCTGCTGCAGTGAGCGAGAGGAGAAAGTACCGAGAGTTTCTCGACCAGCCGGACACTGAGGAAGTAATAGCCAGGAGAACTGCAATGTTTCCCAACGTGACCACGACGCCCAAAACGATTATTATGCTTATTTTGACGGAGCGGTGGGAGAGCTCCTGCTGTCTCTGAGAGTCAAACTCTGACATGTTGAAGTCGTCCGAAGTCGAGAGGTTAAGGGCTGTATACATTGTTCTACACGGTGATACAAGTGGAAACAAATCATAAGTAAACCACAGACACACAAAAGAAAAGAAAGAAAGTTGACGAAATTTTCTAAAGAAATCAAAAATATGAGCAAAATATGTGGCCGTTCGCTGCTAGGCTAACACTACAATCAGCAGCACACCTGAGGCAATTAGCGCTGGGTGGTAAATGCATTTACTGCAGCCATGCTTCAGCTCAGAAGCAGGCTAATCACGGTTAACTTTTCAGTATTTTATGAACTAAGTGGATGTTTTTATTATTATTATCATCTAATTTTTTATATTAATCATGGGTGGTTTAGCTGAAATGATTGTTTCTTCAACATGATCAGGTATTGCCCACATCATTGCTATACCCTGTAACTTAAAGGGATCTAAAAATGGAATTCTTACTAGTGTTAGTATAAATCTAAATATTCAGGACCATAAAGGGAAAGATTCCTTTATCAGCCCAAAACCATCTAACCTTTCCATTTCTATTATATTCTATTTTAGTGAGCTAATTTTCCTAACATCTATTAATATGTGTGCACATATTGAGTGTTGTGTGCAGAGATATTTCTCCTACACATTAGGGTACAACTACCAGGAAACCACTTAGCACAGCAGGTCAAAAAACATATTTCCTGTTCTATGTCCTAATCCTATAATCTAATCTAATCTAATATAATGTAATATAATATCAAGCAACTATTGTCCTGAATTGGCACTATATGTGAATCAAACTGAAAAGACCTGAATTAACATGACAGCAACACTGTACTACAAAATAGCCTGTAAAACAGGTATGCATGTTTCCACCACCATTACTATTTAAATTGTCCCCATTTGTTGTACACTAAGGTGGAAGAAAGTAAAAATATCACTTCTGACTCTATTCACAGCCTATTCCGTCAACTTGTTCCGTCTAGCTTCCAGGCCAGCCCATCTTGACAGGTTTCATCACCTGAAATAACAATGAGTCAGACCACAATTCATCACTACCAGAAAGGTCCCACAGAAGACTTACACACTGTCAGCCTGACGTCTCGCTACCAATCATGGTCCAATTTCCACCATCACACACCATTAGTGTCAACCATTCCTTCACCTCCTTTTCAAGCTCAAATCTGTGCCATCGTCTCTTCTTCAAATAAATAAATAAATAGACATACAGCAACTACATGACACAAGGGTAAGAAGAGGGCTGGAAAGTGTCACCGACCTTTCCCACTTAGGTAACAGGAAACCATCTGTTTCAGCAACATTCTTCTGTGTGACTCTCTGCTATGTGAAACTGCAGTGGAACTAAGATGCGATATTTGTAATGTAGACTTCTAAAAATACACTACACAATGAATCTTCTTACACTGGCTTTACAGTCATCAATCCTCTTCCTCTCCTAAGAATCCATTACATGTTATTAATTTTGAAGAGAAGCTGCTGCACATGGGATAAATCTGTTCTGCAAAAGCTACACAGCACATCTACAAGACGAACTGCCTGTGACACACTTTTTCCCCTACAGATCCTCCACAGTAGAAGTGACAGCTATATTTGATATATGTATTTCTCATTGTCCTAATGAGAATATTTCTCTCTATTTAGTGCAAAGCCTGGAGGAGATGGACTGAAGGTCTGTGGTTAATATTCTACCTCCTTTTCCCTCCTTTTTCCCTCCTTCATATTCATTGCACCCTCGACTGCATGCTTTCTTACCTGATGCTTTCTTATTTTCAAAGGATGTAGAATTCCAATATCAATGGGTGCAAGCTCTCAGATCTTTAAAAAGAGCAATGTCACTTTATACAGGTGTTCTGTTATGGGTAAAAGTCTATCCATCCATTCATTCTCTTCTGCTGCAGCACAGTGGCACTGTGGTTAGCGCTGTTGTCTAATAGCAAAAGGTCATGCGGTTGACTCCACCATCCACCTGGGCCTTGGTGTGTGGAGTTTGCATGTTCTCCCCATGTTTCCCTGGTCTCTCTCTCCAGGTACTCTAGCTGCCTTCAACAGTCCAAAGAGATGCATTTAGTTTGATTAGGTTAACTGGTGATTCTAAATTGATGTGAACGTGACTGTAGTCTGTCTCTCTGTATTAACATTTTATGTCAGTGGAATCAAAAGAATATAATATTCAGAATAAAGTACAACAAAAAAGCAACATTGCTTTAAAGTGGCATTTGATGTAGATAAAAAAAATAAAGCTTAATCATTTATTTGTTAATTTTAGTACAATATGAATTGTTAGCGATGAAGCATCTATTTACAAAGCAGAAACTGCAGTTGGTTTCCACCAGCTGCAGTTTCCAGCAATGCGAATTGGTATCATTTGCATGCGTGCATGTTATTCTGTCTGCCTGGAAACATGATAGCTTTTGAATGAATTCTAGAAAAAGTTGGGTCATGTTAACAATTCATTAAAATTTGACTTACATCCACTGAGGTGTTCAAGGTCAACTAGGAGTGTGGTGTGGATTGTCAACATAAATATTGTAAACATCATGCCATATTTGACCTCTGACCTCTCCTTCAAGGGCAATAGATTGATCTGAAGGTCAAAGTGATAATAACGCTATAGCCGTTTAAAAATATGTTTCTTACTGCTAACATTTGTACTGACAGTATATAGACATATGGGGATTCTAAACATCATGTTCCTTTGGACCTCCGACTGCTTCTTCAAAGGAAACTAAGGTCAAACTTTCATAAATTATCTTTTGTCTTTAAAATTAAAATTCTACTGCCTTTGTTTCTATTGGCAACATTTACCAAATGATACTCTTGTATCGGGATTCTAAATATCACATTTTAGGCCATATCCAAATGTTATGTCACATTTGAAGTCTGATCTCATTTTTACATTTCACATCTGTCTTTCTTTCAAGCTGACCCCAAAATATATCAAATCTTTAAAAATGTGTTGTCAAGAGGACGAGGATGAGCTGCCTAGTTAGTTAGAAATATGCTGCATTATATAATAAACTTAAGTTATTCATGTCCACTCATTTACAAATCAATACCTAATATCCATTACCAACTCCTACATGCAAAAGTCTGCACTTTGTACTTGTTTTTACCGCACTGCAAACCTCTTAAAGTACATTTAAAAAGAACAAAGAAAATAAAACGATATATACAAAACACAGTATTATTCCCTTAAAAATAAATACTGCAAAGAGAGTGAGCTACCTTGAGGTAGGTTTGGGCTCTCAGAGTACTTCTTGTTAATGCATGTAGTAATATGGGCCCTTGAAATGTTCAGCAGTCAAGAGGTAGTGCAAAGTAGCCTATAATAGATTTACTTGAGTGAATTCAGTACAGTACTCAATTAAATGCACTTTATTTATTTACCACGTCTGCAAATATCAGATCCATATATTTATCACATGAAATCTTTCGCTGAGCTAGAAGTAAAATATTCAGTGCACATTTCTGAGAAAAGACAGAAATGCACATATCCTCACAGTTCATTCATAAATCTATCTGTGTCTTTTGAGCATCTCTGCGTGGCTCAAATCCTAAAGTGTTTCCATGTGACAGAGAGGGAGGGTTTGTGTGCGTGTTTCGATGTCAAGTCTACATGTGTGGGCGTGCACACGCAAGCACTTCTTGCCCAAAGCTGTATCTGTAAATGTAGTTGATCTCAGGCGAACATGAGTGAGATACAGAGAGGATGAGTTTCTACATGTGTGCAATTGAATATCCTGTGAGTGGGCGGACTCCTCCATTGGCCACCTACTGTACAGTACTTCCTGATGTAGGGGAAAGTAGCCATTGATTTCATCTGTCTGTGCATGTGTGCGTATGTGTGTATGAGAGAGAGAGGGTGTTTGTGTGGGCTGCAAAGCTATCTAATTCTACCAGCAAGGATGATGTTTAGGGGAGATAGTATAGCACGAGGTTTGATGAGCGATTGTGTGAAAACTTCGTGTCTGTCTTGACCGTGTCTAACTGATAACAAGGTTTCGCCAGCACTGACACAACCAACCTGGCAGGTTGGACGTTATTAAAGCGGTGTCAGACATACAGTATATTCTTGTTGGACCTACACATCAATGTATTCCCCCTTTAGACTCAAATAAGTAGGACAGTGCAGAGAAAGAAGTGCAAAAACCAAATCGAAAGAGAAAAAGTGCAGATGAATCATACTGCAAATTGAATACAAATATCATTGAAATAGCATTTATACAGCTCTGCTTGTTCATAATATTCCCATTCATGAACAAAATGGTTTAATATAACAAGTGATTTAAACACTATGAAATGAGGACCGTATTTATGAGGTTTCCTTTGTGTTTCATGGGCACTGAAAAAAACATTGGAGAGAGTCTATTAATAAAGTCTGACTTATTAGTACAAATATAATGATTTGAGAAACATCTTTTATTGTGCATGAAGTGAAAGACAGAAATCGGGTGCTATAGATTCCTAAAGAAATAATAAAAATAAACAAAAACCCAAAACAATCCATCCAATTTAAGCAGCACATTTTGACCCGGTTACACAATGTTTGTATGTCACAGTGCCTCTGCTTCACTCCCATGTACAAAAATACCTACAGTGAGGCTAGAATTTCAGCCTCGCATAAGAGCCTTTCTCCTCCCATTTAAAAAGCCTGAGTATTGAATATCATTGAAGCTCTTTTTGCTTTCAGTTGTTTTCCCAGAATCAGAGCTGAATTCAACTATGTTGCATTTGTAGCCAGTCTTACACAACAGGGGTCTCATTCTCTTTTTGAAAAAGGTCTTTTAGACATTTAAAAAAAAAAGAATATCTAAGAGGGTATATTATGCTTTGGTGTTGACCTTTAATTTCACCAGTGGTTGCAACTTACATAGAACCACACAAGCAGAAAACTACACAGTCCCTTGGTAGCCTTGCTGATTTTCTGTAAGGAAGCTTTATTTTGAATCCAGCTGCTTTCCACTGACCTGACCAGATTCTAAGGTATTAAAGGCTGCTTTCGTTATATACAGCAGCCTTTTAGGAATCATACATCATATTGTAACCATACTGAAGTCTCTATTTACTATTAAGTTCTGTATAGAATGATAAGTTAGCTTCAGAACTGGGTAGGAACAACAGATTAAATAATATTGAGCTATTTACATTTTTACATTTTTTTCAGTCATAGAGAAATCTTTGGTAAAAAGATCAAAGCTAAACAATGGAAATCAAATAAATATTTTAAACTTTGAATCATATTTA